CTCAAGTAGAAGGCAAATGTTTTGAGAATGATGATGGCAACAAATGTACATATGTGCTTGACACAATGGATGGATATATGGATTGTGATAAGAATTGTACAAGCCCCAATAAAATGATGTTTTTAAAAAAGTCTTAAAGGGAACCTTCATAAAAGAATTGGGAGATTGGTCTGGATTTTAGTCGACAAGCAGATATACACTTGGGTTTGAGCATACCTTTTCATTTCTTAGGGTGCCATGGTGGCACAGTGGTTAAAGCACTCAGTTTCTAACCCTAAAGTTGGCAGTATGATATCATTATGGCCTCCATGGGAAAAAGGTGTGGCAGTCTGCCTCCATTAACATGTTTATAACCCTGCAAGCCCTCTGCTGAGTCCAGTATCAATTTAATGGCCGTGTGTTTGGTGGATTTGGTCTCTTGAAGGCATTGGTCTTTTTCTTTTGTCTTTGTATAAAGTTGAGAGCATGACTACACCTTTAAGAAATGTGAAAGGAGCTGGTGATGAATGGGAAGTATTTGTAAGTAAGCATAAGGCAGTAGCATTGTTAGTCTAATAGTTTTATTTAACTGTATTTTAATTATCATGTTCTAGAGTTTTGCAACTTTCAGGTTTGTTCTCATGTTGAAAAATGTGTGTATGTAAGTAATTCATTAACTTTAGGAAATGGGAAAATAGCATTTTTTATCTCCCTGTCACATAAACAGCTGAGCCAGTTAGCTCAAACTTTCCTATATGATCCGCCTTTTGGGAAAAGACCAGTCATGAAGACTTGTCTGCCTAAATAAAGACTTTTCAGGAAATTCTGAGTAAGTGATGAAGTTGAAAAGGAATTTAAGCTGAGAATACCAAAATGAAACTGCTGCTAATAGAGGGCCTTACCCTGTCCAGTTACCTCTAGAGGAGATATTTTGATCTCTCAGCCTCTTGCTGTTTGTTAAAAGTAGAGTTCTTCTAGGCATATTATCAGTGAAGTGTACTCTGCTCAGATCACTTCTTGGTGTTAACTCCTGAGGCCCCTGAGGAGGGTTCCTCCAGCATAAACCCTGCCCCTAGTGAATGTGGATAGGCTGTGCCACTAACCTGCTCCCCAGGTTATATTTTTTCACACTAATTTTGTGGCATATTCCATTACGTAACCTGGTGACTCGTTTACATGTGTGGCTGTCTGTTGCTGGACTGTGAACTCATTAAGGGCACAGACCATCTGTTTCTGCATCCAGCATCCAGTACAGCACCTGGATCTATTCCCCTGGTAAACCTAGTGTTTCTTTCCTTCAGGGTGACTAAGGAGGTGGAGGCTACTTCTAAGGAAGCCAAATCCTTCTTCAAGCAAAATGAGAATGAGAAGCCCCAGGTGAACTCGCCTTCTGCTCTGCCATCACTGCCTGCGGGGTCAGGGTAAGTACTGGCCGCTCAGCCCCAGTTTAGTCGTAGGCTGGCCAGCCAGGCGGGGAGCCTGCGTGACTCCTTACCAGAGAGAGGGAGGCCTGCTGTTGTTCTGCCTGCTGGTTGGAAACTCCCCAGAGGGAAGCTCTGAGGTAAGGTGAGCCCAGGGGTCTTGCTTGCTGCTAGCTTGACAGAAGTCCTGGGTTAGTGTTGACCACAGGGCTGTGTTGCTGATTTATATTACAGTGTTTCGAATGAACACAGCATCAACGCTAAGTTTTCAGGGATATTTGGATTCAGTACCTCAGTAGCCTTGAAGAAGCATATAAAGGTCAAAGGTGATTTACAACTAATTGTCCTCATACATTGTTAGAAGCATCAGTTTCCGACTATTATGTTCTTCATATTTTCCTTATTAACTGAGTTATTTTTAGTTGACTAGAATTTTTTCTCTTTGGAAGAAATAATAAATTTTAGAAAATAATTTTATTGGGGGCTCTTAAACAGCTCTTATAACAACCCATACATCGGTTGTATCAAGCATATTTGTACATATGTTGCCATCATCGTTTTCTAAACAATTACTTTCTATTTGAGCCTGTGGCATCAAAAATTTTGTATTTCTTAACCTACAGGTGAAAGTACAGGTCACACAGCACAGTCGGTCAGAGAAGCCCAAGGCGGCGATGGTGGTGGGGGGCGGTGGGGAGGAAGGAAGCTCAGGCCACATCCCGAATGACCATGCTGTGGGTCAACTTGTGGGGCAGGCCTGCTGTTTGGGGTAGACCACACCACTTCGGTGAGCTTCTCTCACTCTCTGACTTACTTCACTCCTCGAACATTCTGCGGCCATTGCTCGGAACAGTCAAGTCGGTTTTCTTTCCCTTCTATTAAAACCAAAACCCGTGGGGCTTCCCACGTTGTGAGGTTTTCTAAGGCAGGCCTCTTCCATTTTTGCAGCCCTGACGCCAACCACACTGGACACTCAGATGTCCTTTCTAAAGTTACATTTCCCCAGAAGCAGGCCTGAGAGAAGGGTTTGCATGGAAGTTGTTTGTGGGAGCTAATTCCAGGAAGTCCTAGTTGGGAGCAGGACGGGTGAAGGGAGGAGGGGCCTTGGTTCTGGTGTCTTTTAAAAATGTTACTATGGATCTATGGAGACAGTAACTGGATTAACGGTTCCTTGCACGGAAGGCAGGCAAGGTTGCAGGGGGATGGGGAGCTAATAATGAGTACAAGATCAAAGAAGTGCCAGGAGGATACGGGGAAGGTGGGGGACAAGGGGAACTGATCAAAAGGAACTACATATAACCCCCTCCTTGGGGGACAGACAACAGAAAAGTGGGTGAAGGGAGACATCAGACAATGTAAGACATGAACAAATAATAATAATTTATAAATTATCAAGGGTTTGGGAGGGAGGGAGGGGGAAAAATGAGCTGATACCAAGTGCTCAAGTAGGAAGAAAATGTTTTGAGACTGATGATGGCAACAAATGTACAAATGTGCTTGACACAATGTATGTATGTATGTATGTATGGATTGTGATAAGAGTTGTACGAGCCCCCAATAAAATGACTTTTTTTTTAATTTAAAAAGTAAAAAAAAATTTTTTTTAAGTAAATAAAAGTATTCCTCTGGGAGTTGCTTCCATACAGAATTTCCATAGGGGAATAAGGGCAACGTCAGATTACTGGTATAATTTCAACCAGGACAAATTTTATTCTCACTTATTGAGTGTTCCTTATTAAAATAATCCCCGTTGGTGCTTGAATTTGAATTTGAAAGCTGTTTGCTTCAGATAGTACTCTATTACTATAATTATGTAATCTGTTACTGTATGTGTACGTTTATGTGGTATAATTATGAAGTCGCTGGAGGTGGGAGAAGTGCCCGCCTAAGCAAGGTTGCCTTGTCTCTGTCCCCTAAGTTCACATGGAAATCTCACTACATTCTGGATAAGAAACTTCTGAGATGACTTCTGTTGGAGGAACTCACCAGGGAATAGATGGCACCCTCGTGTTAAGATAGGAAGTGGTGGAAAAACACAGCGACGGTATGAGGGCTGTGTAAACAGGACTGGTTATAATGAGGTTCCATGACACCCCCTAAAAGGAGCCCCGGGGGTGTAGTGGTTACCTGTTGGTCTGCTGCCTGCAAGGGTGGCAGTTTGAAATCACCAGTCACTCCTTGGGAGAGAGACTGACCTTTTTATTTTTGTAAGGAGTTACAGTCTTGAAAACTTGGGAACCGATTACAAGGAACTATATGTGACCTCCCTGGGGGATGGACAACAGAAAAGTGGGTGAAGGGAGACGTTGGACAGGGCAAGGTATGACAAAATAACAATTTATAAACTACCAAGGGCTCATTGGGGGTGGGGTGGGTGAGGACCTAATGCCGGGGTTTAAGTGGAGAGAAAATGTTTTGAGAATGATGAGGGCAATGAATGTACAAATGCGCTTTACACAATTGATGTGTGTATGGATTGTGACAGGAGTTGTATGAGCCCCTAATAAAATGATTAAAAAAAAAAAAAGAAAGAAAACTCACGAGGGCAGTTCAACCCAGTCCTATAGGGTTGCTATGAATCTGCATCGATCTGATGGCAGTGCGTTTGGAGTTTGGATGATACCCCTTGGCCATGAGGGAGAAGAGGAGGAGAGGTTTGGGAATGAAGGGCAGAGCTGGCCTCGTGGCGTGGGCTTCCTGATAGGAGTTAGAACCTTCTGTTGAAAGATGGAGTGTCCAGGGGTTGCTAAAAGAATACAAATCCAATTATCCTTGCTACCATTTGCCCTGCCATCTCTTACCAGGCACTCCCGTTAGCCAGGCACTGCCTGGTTGAAGGCAGGGGTCCAGTGTATGTGGCTCCTCTAGAAAGAACAGTTGTGGGGGCTGGAGTGCAGTGGAGGGAATCTAGAGGAACCAACAAGAAAAGAACTAAGTCTTTTCTTCAGTGGATTAATCAATTTCCAGCCCTTTTAAAAGGGTGATTATGGAATTTTTTCTAACTCGGTTTCTTGAAAGCAGTCATGGAATATACCAGATTTCAAGGAGATGTCTATTAAGTGTCTGAGTAAAAGTCCTCACAGTTTTACTTGACAGTAGGGACATGTTTAATTAGGATACAGAGTACCTTAAGTTCCTGAATAAATAGAAGATGGTCTTCCAGGGTGGTGCACTCATTTTTCCAAAGTGTACCTCAGGAAGCTTTTAGGGTAGACTTGTGCTTGGGAAAAGACAGGGCTGAGAGGAACTCGCCTACTCCTCCCTGTGGACTGCTTCACCCCTGCAAACTACCTGCCACAGCCTGCACTTGTGGGATATGGCAGGTCTTCCCTAGGGAAGAGTCTGCAATGGTGAATTTCATTTACAAGAAGAAAATTATCCCAGTGCAATAAAAGGGTTCTTCTGCATACTTTGTTTTCACTTTCATTTTTCGAGCTGCCTCAGTTTATGGAAATTGTCCTGTAGAGACACTTTATTTGTTTATTTCTCTACTGTAAACAGATTGAAGCAATACAGGAAGACCAAAGTCAGAGAGTAAAACATCCTGTTCCACGGCTTTTGCTTACTAACGAGAACAAGCTTCAGAGGAGCAAATGTTTATAACTGAGCATGCATTTCCTCCCCATGTTTAAAATAGCACACTGCTTATGCTATAAAAAGCAGGAGTTTATGCTTTGGGGCTGGAGTAAAGCAAACACCCCATGGTAATTAGAGGCAAGAATGGAGCTGGCAGGAAGAGCCCCCTCACCATTTGGGAATTAAAAGCTCGGTGCTCCCACATCTCTCTCCCAAGGAGCTCCTTTGGGTTAGTAGCCAAGTGCTTCAGAGCTGCGCTATCCAGATTCTTTTACTTACTTTGTCTAAATTCCCTTGGCTGGATGCTTCCAGATGAATGTCTATTTTGATCCACATCTTATCTGCCACACACCAGCCCTCACTACCAAGATGGCCACTTACAAGCAGCTTCTGCCATCTTTGTGGGCAAGCTGGCCTCATCCAAAGCCTCATCCCTACGTTTAAGCCTTAAAAGAGGAACCCTGGTGGCGCTGTGGAATAAGTAATAGACTGTTAATCTCAAGGTCTGTAGTTCAAACCCATGAGCCATTCTTCTGGAGAAAGGTGAGGCTGTCTCTTCACATAACGATTTACAGCCTCAGAAACCTCTCTAGGCCTCTGGGAGTCAAAATAGACTCTATGGCAGTGGGTTTGGTTTGGGTTTTCATTCTAGTCATGCGCTTCCATTGTTCTTATTAAAATTTATCATCCTAGATACTTAATTAAAAGTTACTATGCCACTGCTTCCTTGTTGATCAGAAATAGCCAAAAGGATGGGTTTGGGGGGTGGAGAATTCTTTGTCTCCCAAATTTATCAGTCATCCAACTCTAGGAGAAAACCCCAAAAGATGGAAAACATATTTCCCTTTGAAATTTTGTCTTTGGGGTTTATGGAGTTTCAAAAGCAAAAATAAAAATTGCATGCTTTAGTATTATAGATGTAGGACTGTACTGTATCATACCTCTGTGAATGTAAAATGTCTTGTATCTGCTTTATGACATGTAATAGTGACTGTGCTGTTTTTTAATGATGTTATTTATAATGTTTTCTTTCCAATGATGATTGAGAAGCTAATTAAAAAAAAATGATACCAGGTACAACAACAGTCAAGAACTTTGCTGTTTTCTGAGGTTTTGTTTTGCATTTTTTCCTTTCGTTTTTTTTAATGAAGTTTTTTGTTCAGATGACTGCAGAACCTGGAAAACCTGTTGCTGCTATTGATGCATAACACTGTGATTGATTGGTCTTTTTATACAAATATAAAAGCATATACACACACACATATATAATTTGAATTTTTGGAAACCTTAGCTGTGCTATCAACTTTGGAAAAATATCCCAGTTGTACCGTGTTGAGTTGGGATCATACAGAAATTAACAGTCATATTGGTCTAGAAACGTTAAACTTAATTTTTTTCCCATTTATACAGGGGTAACACACTGT